TAGCGGTACCAAAAGTAGGGTATGTTAAAAGTTAGTTAATTTCTCTTTGCAAAAATACTGAAACTCGGGTATGTTAAAAGTAGGACTTAATGCCTCTTGTTTGCCGTGAGTAGTTTTTAAGATTAAAATTAAAAGGTTGTTTTTAATATATGCTGTTTTTTGTTTTTTTATTTAGTATTTGAAAATATTATTTTCAAATTAAATTTAGACCAAAGTTCTCTATTTGAATGCTCATTTGACTGAAAAATTAAATAACCTTTGATTTAGTTTGTTGGTGTTTGAGTAATCAACAATCTTAGAAAGATAAACATCAACAAATGAATTGTTGATAAAAAGCAGTAATGAGAAAGTTAACACTGTCCTTTCTGAAGACTCGAAATGATCCTTGTTTCAGTATTGAACAATCTCAAAATAAACAAGGTTGTAATCTTTTACAATTCTTTCAGGAGCAGAATGTAGTTAAAAATTTTTATAGCTTTATTGCTGTGTAAAACCTGGATAAACTTGTATGTCATTAACACATTCTTAACAGTTCTGTACACATCTTAAATTGCTAATGGTTCAGTACACATGGTAACACATTCTTAATGGTATTTACATGCATTAACACATTCTTATTAGTTCTGTACACATATTAACATATTCTTAATGGTTCTATACAGATGTTAACACATTCTTAACAGTTCTGTACACATGTTAATACATTCTTAATAGTTCTGTACACATGGTAACACATTCTTAACAGTTCTTTAGACACGGTAACACATTCTTAACAGTTCTTTAGACATGGTAAAACATTCTTAACAGTTCTTTAGACACGTTAACACATTCTTAACAGTTCTTTAGACACGGTAACACATTCTTAACAGTTCTTTAGACACGTTAACACATTCTTAACAGTTCTTTAGACACATTAACACATTCTTAATAGTTCTGTACACACCTTAAATTCTTAATTGTATTTACACACATTAACACATTCTTATTAGTTCTGTACACACATTAATATATTCTTAATGGTTCTATACAGGTGTTAACACATTCTTAACAGTGCTTGTCTAAATTCAAACAATGTTTAAATGTGGTCTTGATATGTAGCAAGAATTAATAGTTACCCTGCTAAGTAACAAGGAAAATCTATTAAATCTATCTCTTAAATACTTACTGTATTTAGAACTGGCTGAGTAAACTAACCTATTAAGTATCATGTGAAATCTTATATAATAGGTTATTAAGACAGATTTGAAAACTATAATTTTCAAATTACTTGTCATTTAAGGTTTTTTATCTCAGAAAGTAATTTTAGTTTTTGACATTAAAAATATACATCATAACATACAATATTAAAGTAAACTAGACAGTTTTACTTGTGGGAAAGTCAGAAAATTATCAGTACAATATTTTCTTTACTTCTACTTGACTTTTTCCATAGATCAGTAATTTGATGGCTGAATTAAAAGCTCTTCAAAATACCCACAATGCAAGGTGCACAAACTGTCCAAACTTCAAGGTTACACTTAAAGATAAAGAAGTGAAACTCCAGAAATTAACATCAGAAAGAAAACAACACCTGGAAGAAATGTTTGAAATCAAGTAAGTGGGGATCAGCTGATATGTAATACCCAATAATATAAGATAAATGTTTGAAATTAAGTAGGTGGGGATCAGCTGATATGTAATACCCAATAATGTAAGATAAATGTTTGAAATTAAGTAGGTGGGGATCAGCTGATATGTAATACCCAATAATGTAAGATAAATGTCTGAAATTAAGTAAGTGGGGATCAGCTGATATGTAATACCCAATAATGTAAGATA